CATTATAATTTTTAAGGAATTATTTTCATTAGTGAGCTTTTGGACTTCCCTTTCCATTTGGCCAATTCTGCCTTTGAAGGCATTCTTCTCTTCATTGGCTCTTTGGACCTCTTTTTGCCATTTAGCCTTATCTATTTTAAGGTGTTTTTTCTTCAGTATTTTTGGGTCTCCTTTAGCAAGCTGTTAACCTGTTTTTCATGATTTTCTTGCATCACTCTCATTTCTCTTCCCAATTTTTCCTCTACTTCTCTTACTTGCTTCTCAAAATCTTTTTTGAGCTGTTCCATGGCCTGGGACCAATTCATATTTTTCTTGGAGGCCTTGAATATAGGAGCTTTGACTTTGTTGTCTTCTTCCAAGTGTATGTTTTGATCTTCCTTGTCACCAAAGTAAGATTCTATAGTCTGATATTTTTCACATTGTTGTCTAATTTCCCCAGTCAATTATTTTTTTTAACTCTTTTATGGGCAAAGCAACAGAATCCTGCCTCAATTCCGGCAATGATATCTCTGCTTTGTCACATCCTTCTGATCAGTTGTTTGATCTCCTTGCCATCTGTGGGCAGAAAGTTCCAAAAGCAGCTTCTACTTCTGCCACCACCACAGCCACCACCACCACTGCTGCCATCATCCATTTTTCTCACACCCATGTCCAACAGACCTTCCCACTGACCTTCTAAGTTGTCTGTGGTATTTCTGGGCTGAGAAGTCTGTAAACTGCCACAGCTATCCATCATTCATTCCCCTGAAGCCTGCTCTGAGTTTGCTGGGGTCCAGACTGTTCCAGTGTGGTCTGTGCTAAACTGTAATCCTCTCCCTTCCTGCAACAGACCTTTCACTTTGACCAACCAGGTTGTCTTGGGCTGGAAATTTGTTTCACTCTGTCTTTTTGTGGGTTCTACCCTTCCAGAATTTGTTCAGAGTCAATCATATAGGTATTTGGAGGGGATTCAGGAGAGCTTGAGCAAGTCCCTGCATTTACTCCACCATCTTGGCTCCATTCTGCCCTCCAAAAAGAATGTTAAGGAAGTGTCATGTTCCCTACAGTTCTCAAATTAAAAAGGCTTTCTATTCCCCAGCTCTTCCTTTCTGTATTCTTCAGAGTGGCTTTACCAGCTGTCACTCTATGGATTGTGATATGTCCAGTAAGTTTCACTGGCTCCTTGTTTCCCATAAGATCAAATATATTCTCCTTGGTATGAAACTTTTTTTTCCCACACTGGCTCCAACATACTTTTCCAGAGTTATCACACATTACTCTCCCTTATACACTCACCAATCCAGTCTAATTGATTCTCTTGATTTTCCCCAAACAAACCATTACATTTTGCACCTTCACACTTCTCTGTAGGTTGTCCTCTTACCTAGAATATACTTCTTCTCACTTCTACCTCTAAGAATCCTTAGTTTGCTGAAGCCTGAAGAGCTCAGCTCAACTACTACCTCCTCTATGAGGCTTTTCTTGATTCTACCACATGCATATATATATATATACACACACATATATATATGCATATACATGTATGTGTGTGTACATAGTATATATACCATATATGTATATGTACGTATATGTATGTATATGTGTGTATATATAGTATGTGTGTGTGTATATGTATATATACATATATAAACATATATATACACTTGTATGTATATATATATGTATATATGTGTATGCATATGTGTGTATGTATATATATATACACACATACTTGTATGGATGTTCATTCCCCTCTATAGAATGTGACTTTCTTGTAGGCAAGGGCTGTTTCATTACTTTGTATTTTGTACTTTGGAGCCTAGCACAGTATCTGGAACATTATAGGTGCTTAAAGAATGCTCTTTGCATGATTTGTGACTAAAAGTTTCTCCACCTAATCATCTGCACTCTACTGAAAGGAGATTAAGTTCAAAGAAAGGTAGCAAAAGGATGGTAGATCCACAGGGAAATATTTCCTTTTTATAAGATCACTGATGTCAGAGGGACTGAGAGTCTACAGACTATTAATGATAAATAATAGAAAAACTCTACCACCTCAGCTTGGAAGGAGGTAGAATAAAGACTCTTACTGAGATGGAAGACTGAACTCTGGTAGGTACATCTATTTTCCTTTCTCTTCTAAAAAGATAACCAATAGTTATAGTAATAACTCACATTTACTTAGTGCTTCAAGGTCTTTTAAACACTCTGCATATGTTATTTCATTTGATTCTCACAACTCTACCAAGATAAATACTATAATTATGCTAATTTTACAAATGAGGAAACTCAGAAGAAGGAAGATTAAATGACTGTCAAAGGATCACACAGTCAATCTAAATTACACTAGTTTAAAAATAATAAGCAGTGGGCAGCTAGGTGGTACAATGGATAGAGCGTGACGTCAGGAAAACCTGAGTTCAAATTTGGCCTCAGATACTTACTAGCTGTGTGATCCGGCAAGTCACTTAACCCTGTTTACCTTAGTTTCCTCACCTGTAAAATGGGCTGGAGAAGGAAATGGTAAACCACTCCAGTATCTTTGCCAAGAAAATCCCAAATGGGGTCATTGAAAATTGGACATGCCTGAATACCAATAATAGCAGCTTTTTTTGTGATGGCAAACAACTAGTAATTAATGAGAGGCCCATCACTTGGGGAATGGCTGAACAAGTTGTGGTATATGTAATGTGATGTTATACTATTGTGCTATAATAAATGGCAAGCAGAATGGTTTCCAAACACCCTGAGAAGATTTACACAAACTCATACAAAGCAAAATGAGCAGGACCAGAACATTGTACACAGTAACAGCAATATCGTAAAATGATCAACAATGAATGACTTATCTATTCTGATCTATACAATGATTCAAGACAATATCAAAGGACCTGTGTTGAAAAATGCTATCTGCCTTCAGAGAGAGAGAGAGAGAGAGAGAGAGAGAGAGAGAGAGAGAGAGAGAGAGAGAAGGGAGAAACTGATGAACACTGAATGTAAATTGAAGCATGCTGTTTTTCTAACTTTATTTTTTTGATGTGCTTTCTTTTTCAAATGGCTAATATATTTTGCATGTCATGTATACATCACATATCTATATGAAATTGCTTGTCTTCTCAAGAAGGTAGAGAGAATTTGAATTCATTTTTAAATTCTTTAAATTTTTACATGTAATTGAGAAATACTTAATGAAATAGATATATTTTTAAAATAGTCTAATAATAAATAAACATTTATTAAATACCAACTATGTGCCTGGCACCGTGCTAAGTGCTACGGATAGAAATTTGAGAAAGAATGTCAATGCCTGTCTTCAAGGAACAAACAATATAACTGGGGAGGCAGGGAAGAAAGGGGTCATGATGGAAAAGTCAAAGGTTTGCAGCCAGGTAGAAAACAAATTAGTTTCTGAGATAGGTTTCAAACCCAGGACTTCCTGACTTCAAGTCCCACAGTGTTGTGCTCTAGCCACCAAACAACACTATTCAATTAGGGATAAGTACTCAGTGGCTCTAGGGAGGAGCTGTCAGGCAGGGAAAGGTATTAAACCCATTCATCTAGCTTAAGCATTGTTGCAAATACTTGTATGTCTGAAAAATGAAAATAAACATTGTTTTGTTATATGCAATTAAATTAGAGATAGAACAATGTTTATGTGAAGTAATCATGCCTAAGACATGTGCACAATGGTCCATATATTGAAACAAAAAGGCTACAGATGTTTCATAAAAATGAACAAGTAAATTTCAATTACATTACTTGAACAAATATACCAAGTATTCTGGAGGTACAGTTTCAAATAAATCACAGAAAGCCACATGTACTTTTGTAGACTTAATCTCCATTTACCTTGTTTCCTCATGAAAAAAAAATACTAGAAACCTTGAAGTGCTCTGCAAAATTTTTGTTAGAGGTAATATGGTATCTCAGAGTGAGGAACACATGTGTTTAACAAGTTAAACACCTCAGATGCTTAACTAAATTGTGTGACTATGGGCAAGTCACTTGACTTCTTTGACCTTTAATTTTCTCCATCTGTAAAAATGGGGATACTAAGGGGGGGGAACAGAGGGAACAAACATTTATATAGAACCTACTATGTGCCAGGCAGTATGCTAAGTGCTTTCTACAAATATTATCTCAGTTGATCCTCACAATAATCCTACAAGTAGCTACTATTGTTATCTCCATTTTGCAGTTAAGGAAACTGAAACAAAAATTAAATGACTTGCCCAGGTTCACACAGTTAGTGTCTGAAGTCAAATCTAAACTCATGTCTTCCTGGAACCATGTCCAGTGCTCTAAGTACTGCTCCACCAGCTGCCTGTCTTGATAGGATGATAAGTAGGAGTTTTGTGAGAATCAAATGAGGTAAAATATATATGAGGCTAGGTGGCAAAGTGGATACAGTGCAGGGCCAGGAGTCAGGAACACTCATATTTATGAGTTTAAATCCATCCTCAGATACTTACTAGCTATGTGACCCTGGGCAAGTAACTTACCCCCATTTATCTCAACTTCCCATATGTAAAATGAGCTGGAGAGGGAAATAGCAAAAAACACTCCAGTAGCTTTGCCAAGAAAACCCCAGATTGGTTCTGAAGAGTTACATATGACTGAAAAATGATTGGGCAACAACATACGTAAAATGTTTTATAAACCTGGAAGCACTATAAAAAGTGAACTGTTATAATTAATACTTTACATGAAAAATCAATAAATGTTTGTTCAGCATTCTTTTATGTAGTAACAGTGTGATTAGAAACCTAATACCACATTTTGGTCATTCACCTTAACTGATTAACCACGACCAGTTTCAACTATTATAATCAATAAGTATATATGTATCTCTGTGTTTCTGACAAGGAAAGGCTAACTCAATGGATAATTTTGTCCTGTTTATGTGGAGTGACTCAGAAAATCCAAAAGGAAATATATTGAAATATATTGAACATGTTGCACATATAAAGTAATACATGAATACTAATAGCTGAATAAAACAGTTTTTCCTGTTTTTACAGCTTGCAGACCAGGATTCTATAAAGCGTTTGCTGGGAACATAAAGTGTGCTAAGTGCCCTCCACACAGTTTAACATATATGGAAGCAAAATCTGTCTGCCAGTGTGAAAAGGGTTACTTCCGAGCTGAAAAAGACCCACCTTCTATGGCATGTACCAGTAAGTCTAATTAATTTAGTGTTTGGAATCTTTTCCCCCATTTTGTCTCTTATTTTAACTTAATTAAAAAAAAATCTTATACCGTAAGATTCTATTTGTCTTTGCCAATAATCAAGGGGAATTTTTTTTAAGTTATAAACAAACAATTCTGTTTCTCACCAGTTTGAAAAACAGATTTTCATTTTTTCCTTCAAAAAGTATATTTGTCAAACCCCTCCAAACACCTGTAAAAATGGCTCTAAACAAATTCTAGAGCACAGAAAGGCAGAGTGAAGCAAATTTCCAGCCCAAGACAACCTGGATGGTTGATTGGAAAGGTGTATCACACCAGGAGGGGAGAAGAGTTCAGTTCAGTGTGGGTACACAGGCAAAGACCAGGACTCAGCAAACCTGGAACAGGCCTTAGTGGACTGAATCACAGGCAGCTGTGGTGGTTTCCAAACTTCTCAGCCCACAAACACCAAAGACAATTTCAGAGGTCAATAGGAAAAGTCTGTGATCACAGTGAGAGAGGGCGCAGCCCCAAGGCAGGGGCTGCTTTCAGAGCTCAATCCAGAGACTGAAGGGGAATGGAGTGGATGATCAGAGGGGGATTGCAGGGATCTCTTTGCTAGCACTGAGGCAAGATTCTCTTGTTTGCTTGTGCTCGAATCTGGGTCATAGTTCTGGGTGGTGGCCGTAGGAAGAGGAGGAGCACTGGCTTGGTGGTGCTTGAAGTGGTGGTAGAGAAAGAAACCTCCTCAAAGTTTCAAGGCAGAAAAGAGTGGTTGTGGTCATTCATAGACCAGAGCCCAGGTCAGGAAAGGAGTAAAAACATCACCCTTGATCATACTGCCTTGGAAGAACTGAAAATTTACAGGTCCCTAGAAGTATCTCTGAAACCAGCTGCACAAAATATAGTTAGTTTTCTACAACATGATCACTATGCAAATGTTTTGAATGACTACAAATGCATAACCTGTATCAAGTTGTTTGCCTTCTCAATGAGGATGTGTTGGGAGGGAAGGAGAAAATTTGGTAGAAAAATAAATAAACAAAATTTAGGAAAAGTATATTTGTCCTTCTGTGTTCAAAACTTAAGGCTAACTGTAGGACTTGAAAACTCATGTGCCTCTTAACTAGAAAGTTGAGTAGCTGCAAGCATACAACGTAATTTAAACAGTGAAACTGCTCTACAGATGCTTGTAAATTTGACTCAGCACTTCTTCATTCTGAGGCAGACCAGTTTAGTCCCATGCCTGGTGTAGTCTGGCTACTCTCTGTTGTGTACAAAGAGGACCAAAATGTCAGAATCAAGATACAGTGCATCTGACTGTGGCTGATCAGACCTATGCAAACTCAGAAGACTCTACCACAGGTCAGGCACAAAGAGTTCCATGGATTTTACTGTGTGGGAGCTTCCAGATAAGGGCTAGTTTTAAAGCCATGGGCTTTATTATCTATGAATATTAGCATTCCTTTGGCATTTGTCTTTAAATGAAAGTGCTTACTTTTTTATCTATATTTCACTCATCACCCTCCTGAAATTATTAGGCCATGTGTTCTATTCCAATAGTCAGCTGACCTCAAAAACCAGGCCTTATCAAGCACACATATAGATTTTAAGTGATTTCAATTGCTTTGTCATTATAGCTGCTATGTCATTGCAAAATATTTATACTTCACTGTTAATAATGAGGTATTAACAAATGGATTGGCTAAATTATACCAGTTTGAAATGCCATCTCTAGTTGTTTACAGAAATATGGGTAAAACCAGGCTGACCATAAAGGATTTATAGTGAGCTGTTTCGGTTTTTTTTGGGGGGGGGGCTAAGAATTGGTGCCAATCAAGATGTAGAAGATTTTATGTGTTCCTAGAAAGACAAAAATAGAATGAAAAATATGCCATGCCACCTGTAATTTGGAATTACTGATGGCAATGCCCTATTTTTTTTAACTTACAAAGAACAACTTAGAGATTCTTCATCAATATATAAATTATTTAAAACAAAGTAATTGTTATTAAAGACAAAGTAATTGTTTTGTAAAGATAGAGATTAAGAATAGTTTCAATATAAATAAAAAGGCATTTATGATATATACATTCTACTTTCTGAATCATTGAGTGACAGACTTCATGTGATTTACTTAGAAAATCATAGCTTGGAGAATTGTTTTATTTGATTGCATATTTTATGCTTCTTGGGGGAAGGAGCAACATTTAAACTTTTAAATAGTGATGGGGAAATTGTGTGGATGATTTCTGACCTATGTGTGAAAGTATTGATTTTGAAGTAGTTTCTCTAATGCTCATCCTTAGAGCTGTCTGCCACCTGCTACCATCCTGATCAGAATAAGAATTGGGAAAGTGGAAAGACCAGGGTCTTCCTCAGAAAATCTTGCTTTTGTTCTTTTATGATTGAGAGGAGGTGAAGTGGCAGATCAGGAAGGAGACTTTGACTTAACAGATAGGAGGAGCAGGCAGTCCCCTAAGAGATGATATACCAAACAATGTCCTTATCATCTCATTCCACCTACAGTTCTATCAATAAAGTTATTCCTTTGGTTCTCATTGTTACTAGCCTTCTTTTATCATGCACACACACCTAGAAATTCATCCACACTCATCCTCTAGATTTTTCAGCTTTCCTTCTGACAGAAGGAACTTAGCTTGGAGCTCAAAGGCAAATTCTGTCTGGCAAAAATAACTCACATTGACATATCTCTAAGTTTTGTGGAATGTATTCTGCAATCTATTCTGCAAAAAAGATGAGAAAACTGAGATTATTACAGTGTATGTGAGGTGGAATTTGAACCCAGCTCTCTTGAATTTAAATCTACAGCTAAGCAAACTTTCTCTAGGATAATTCAAGCACCCCTTGAGCAAGTGGCACATAGTAAGCATTTAACAAATATTTATTGATTGACTGGAAATGCTAGTACTACTGCAAAAAGTTGAACTCAGGGGACTGAAATACAGTTGTAGATTATAGAATCATAGATTTAGAGTTCAAAAGGACTTTTAGAGGTAGCTTCCAAGTCATAGAGACAAAAGAATAAGACTTCTACATTTGTGTTCCACCTTCTGTATTATCCAGCTGTCTTTTGAGATCCCAATAAAAAAGAGGCAATAAGATGACATTTATAATATACAGCCAATGGCAAGAGACTGCTCTCCCCACATGGTGGAGAACACAGAATGTTTTTTTTTTTCCAGATGCACATTCATGTGTCATCCACATAGATACCTCCATCTTAAATGATCTGGGAATATGCAAAGCACCACTCCACATAGAAATAATAAAACTTGCTTCTATATGAAAATGCGAATCCACAAAGATTCTTCCCTACTAAAATCTAGGTATGGGGACAAGGAAACAACCAAATTGTTGTTGTCTTTACTGTTTTTAATGGGTGAGGGGGGACAGAGAAGATAGGAGAGATACAGAAAAATAATCTTTATCTTTGTTGTGACCTTTGTTTTGCTATCACCATTGAGAAAGATATAGAATGACCTTTGTCCTTAGATTTCCTCTAACACATAATAAGTACAAATACATGTTCGTTGATTTGAAGAATTTATTCACTCACAAAGTAGAGGTTCAAGAGATTCCTTAAACCATTCATTCTTGATAAATGAGCTTCAGAATCAGTGAGTAGGACTATTATAAAGCACATAAGGTTACCAACATTTGTGCTTTTGTTATGTGACCACATTTTTAAAAATTGGTGCCTTTGTTACAAGAATTATTGGCTATTTGAGAAATCAAATTATTTTCCAGCCTTTCATTCCCAGTAATAGAAGTAGTACTACTTTGTATGGTACAAAAGAAAAATGATAGATGGGAGGGGAGTGGCTAGTGGTATGTAAAAGGAAGGAGGTAGAAGCATTTTTCCATCCAAATTTTATTTCCTTCACTTCCAAGAGGCTGGAAACCACTGCAGAGAATCCATGCCCTAGTGACAACCTTTTTTTTCCTTTTCCTTCTCTCTCCATGTTCTTTTCTCTTTCTCTTTTTTTTCTCCTCAAATCCAAATTGGAACAAATAATGAATAGATAGGAATAGGTAGATCATTAAGTATTTGCTCCTGTCTCAAAAAAGGTCCCCTTTTCATCAAACCCTTGTGCTCTTTTTTTGTTTTGTTGTGTTTTGTTTTTTGGCTAGGCGATCAGAGTTAAGTAACTTGCCTAGGGTCACACAGCTAGTAAGTGTCAAGTGTCTGGGGCTGAATTTGACCTCAGGTCCTCCTGACTCCATGGCCAGTGCTCTATCCACTGTACCACCTAGCTGACTCTAACCTGCGCTTTTCATTTCATTTCATTTTCCTTTCATTCAAGGTTGCAGCCTAAAGGAAAACTGAACTCTGTATCAATTTTTCTCTGTCCCCAGAGGATAGAGGTCTGGTAAGCATAGGTCTCTATTAGGTGGTACAGTAGATAGAGCTCTGGACTGGGAGTCAGCAAGACCTGAATTTAAATACAACCTCATATACTTAAGTAGTTGTGTGACCCTGAAACAGTCATTTAATCTCTGTCTGCCTCAGTTTCCTCAACTATAAAATAAGGATAATAACAGCACTTACCTCCTCTTGGAGGTTGTTGTGAGGATCAAGTGATATTTTGTAAAATGCTTAGCATGGTGGTCAGCACATAGTTTACTCTATATAAATGCTTCTTACCTCTCTTCCTCTCACCTATAATCTACCTTTTAACAAACCCTTATAAAATAGCAGTAGCATAAAAAAAATGCATTTCATGTATATCCAGAGAATTCCAAGCAATAAAACCAATATAACTATGCAGAAGTCTAGAAAAACATGACCTCAAAACCCTGGCATCAAAAGTGTTTCCTGGTTGTCTTGGGCTGGAAATTTGTCTCACTCTCTCTTTTTGTAGGTTCTCCTTCTCTAGAATTTGTTTAAAGCCATTTTTACAAAAACTTGAAGGGGTTTGGAGGAGAGCTGAAGCAAGTCACTGCTTTTACTCTGCCATCTTGGCTCTGCCTCCCCTTAAAGGAG